GACCGGTATCCTACCGGCCCCTACCGTAGACTGCATAACGCGTTTCTATTACGCGGTCAATTGCAGCGATTGTTGCGTGCCTCTCGCAATCAGCGCCACCGAGCCTGCACGTGTGCTTTCTCTTTCTCCTCTTCTGCCACGCCGCCTTTTTCCCTTTTTTCCCTCCGTTAAAAATAGCGGTAAAATATACGCGTTCCTTGATTTATAGCTATTAAAATTATACCACATCGTTCCCGCGATCGGTCCATGAAGAATAGGATTAATTTAACGCGATTAGATACCGAGTGACCGATGTCGTAACAACAGCTGTACCGGGTGGCGCGTCGCGAGTGTAAGTACGATTGCCGCGAAAAATAGCGAAACACAAAGAGGCTGTCACAACTGGCAAATTGCCAGGGAAAGATTGACGTTTAATGGGTGTCAAAATAACAATACCAGCGTTGCGGAGATTAGACGGTTCGCGCAGCGGCAAACGAGGACTTGACGCGGGGGAATGATAATTCGGATAAAATGAAACGATCGATAAATCACGCAGCGAATGTGATTTTATTTTTGGTAATTCCTCGCCTGTTAGTTAAATTGATAGAAATTACGATCTCTTCGCGTGTCTACCCTAAATCACCTTTTCGGAGTATCTACGTGGTGTCAGTGTACGAAGAACGGTCATTTCTACTTTAGATTCGAGATTTCTTTCTGAAATTCGATCCTGATTGCTCCAAATATGAGAAAGGCAAGAAAGTTTTTGTAATAATCTTCGACCCAGTTTCTCAAATGATGCAATCTCGAAATCCATTCGATGTAGGTCACATTGCACAATCCTAGAGAGAAGATCCCGAATTTAGCAATCGCGGGTCTGTAGCATCGAAACGGAGGCAGTTGATCCGGTCATCAGGACACAAAAGCGCCTTTCCGTGGGGATTGCGCCACGAGAAAATAGCGTAATCATGGTGATTAACGAGAAAACTATGTCTCCGATGTGTTCTCCGCGGTGCTTCTAGTCGGAGCCAGTCGACGATCGGAAACAGGCAGCCACGTGCGTGACACGTATCGTGACGAACAGACAATGCCGCGGATCGATACGTGGCACAGCAATTTAAATACAAGCAGACAGTGACACGCGGGTTGCGCATACCTTCGCTTTCTTTCGCGACAGAGAGCCTAACAGAGCAACAAGCGAACTGCGGCGCGTTCATGAGCAGGACGCCGCGTTCTGTTCGATGGTCGTCACCGAGAGTAAACGCAATTGGTAGTCGATCATCTGCCGTGCTCTCGGGTATTTAGGAATAGTTTAATGGCAGCGATCATTGACTCAACTTCCAAGCAGTGGTACGGTGAACGTTGTCCTTGACAAAAGGCAAGGCAGATGGTCAGCAAGACGATGAAACGATGGAGCGTCTTACTGAACGTGGCACGGTGATATGCGCAGTGGCTCGTGTGTGACTTGGAGCGCACGGACGCCTGTTTATTTTCAAACTGGTCAAGAACAAGAGGAATGTTGAATACGTGGGAGTGCAGCAGCGTTCATAAACTTTCTACGAAAAGTATACAGGAATCGATCATTGTTCGAATTAAATTACGATTTTTCTTCCTTTGTGACTTCTTTGGAAGGAAAGGGCGGAAGATTTGGGAGACTTAAAATGGATATCAAATATTCATTAGCGGACAAGAGTGTATTTTGAATCGTGCGTGTCACTCGAAAATACGAAATCGCAATTTTTACGTTACATTGGTAAACGGCATGGCCGACCCGTAAAGTCTCGCCGAACTGAAACGTACACGGACAGCATTATGTAAGTATACTCATAAACATGTAATAAACGCGCGGGTATGCCGCGTTTTAGTCACATTTTATGGGACAGAGGCCGCGTGGGTGAAGGAAGCGAGAGAACTCGCCACGAGTTTTATGGTATCGAGAATGTACATTTCTTTGTGGAAGGACCACCGATGTCCACGATAAACATTCGGGTGTATCTACAGGAACGGTAATCCGTTATCATTGAATTTCGTTTTACTGCCATCGTTCACCGGACCGAATGGTGTCAAGAAACCTGCGAAGAAGTGAAACGCGCGAGAAAAGGCCTTAATGACACGATTACGAGATTAGATCTAAATAAAGCTGGCTGGTGTGCGTTCTAGAAATATTACCGCCCACGTGGAACAATTTCGAAGAATAAACAACACCTGCGCTTAGAAGATTCATCAGAACGCGACGGAACTTTCTTCCTCTGCGAACCGGTACAACCCGTATGGAGGTTAAGTTGACTTCCTTCAGTCCTTGAAATATTAACATATTATCACAGAGTGTTGGATTAAAAGGTTTGCCGCGTAATTCCGATATCATCGTATGGATTTTAAGAGCGAGCGTTCTAATTGCAAGACTGGATCTCTCGACGACATCGCCGCCGTGCGCTAATGTAAATTCGTCAGGGAACCACTTTATCTTCGTCGCGGCAATCCGATGTGATTAACGATAACATTCGATTTGACGGAAAAGAAATGTATCGCCTCGCGTACGCGATACGCCACGAATTTTTATACGTTTCATCCCGCACCTTGGTACCGGGTTTTGCCATTAAATGACTTTTGCTCTTATTTATCATCTTCAATTTCACATTCCGGGATATGTAAATGAGACACGGGTTGCACGACAAAACAAACGTCGCACGAAAAGAAACTTTCAGGCGTCTTTTTTATCTGTTCTTTCTTTTTTAACAATTGCGCTACACCCACATCGCGAGTGAAAACGTCATCGCGATAAATTGCTTTCACTTCTTCGACGACTTCGATAGAGACCAATCGTCAAGCTGAGAATTATCAAATGCGACGATGAATCGGAAAGAAATCGAACTTCGGTTTAATTTGTTCTCGATTTCAAGGGAATCAACTGAATGATTAAAAACTAGAAAATTGCAAAAAAAGAAGGTCGCTATACCAGTCTGGATGCAACAGCACGTTAATTACCGTCTATCTCGACCGCGAATTTCGCATGGCGAATATTACAACAAACTAGAAAATCAACATTACGGACGAGAGAGGAAGATGGGGGACAAAGATGCTGGTATATAGGGAATAAAGAAACACAGAGAGGAGGATAATAGACATAGATTATACCAGCCGGTGGGGGCTGTACGGCGCGGAGGAACGAAAGAAGCGGGGTAGAGCGGTCGTTTGCCTTGGATCGGCTTCGAACCGGAGAGTCCGAGCCCAAACCCGAGAGCCCGAGCGCAAACCCAAGCTCGATCCCGATTCCGATCCCGCCTGATTTCCGTCCGCGTGCATTCCATCTTGTGGGTTCGGCCGCGATCGGTCAGAGTCGAGCCGACTCGGCTTCGTTCGCCGTTTCTCGGCCCCTCTGCTCGGTCATGCTGTCGTGCAACTTCGGCTACAGTCGTGTATCAGCGCTCGTGCGGAGTGGATCGTGGAACGCTCCTCGTTCCAAACTCGACGGTGGAATGACGGTGTCCTTTCTGTCGTCGTCACGAGACGCTAAGAAAGACGCTTGTTCGCGCATTAACGTTATACCTGCCCCCGCGACGATGTCACCGTGACAACACGATCGTTTTACCGGTCGATTATTATTAACGAAAGATCTCGCACGTGGTGTAAAGCGGGGCAGGATTCAGCCGGCGCGTTAACGTGCTGTGCGTGTAACAGTGGATGTGCTCGTTCGGTCTCTGTCGCTCTCACGGTATTACCGATCGTTCTAACCTCTCTCTCCGACTTACTCTGTGTGCCTTCTACGAACCACGACCGGTCGTCATCCTGGATATCGCTTGTCCGTTGGAACCGGGCCCGCGCGTAGCAACCGCAAGAAAACCTAGTCGACGCTGAATCAACAGGTGGGAATCTGCCAACTTACAGGTATCTATTTGTTTTCATTTTTCTATTTCGTCGGTCTTCACCAGCTGTCAGTTCGCTGCCAGGTGGCATAGAATACGACGACGGCTACGATCCCCTCGGATTCCATGGGCTTGCGAACCCGAGACGCTCTAGGCGACCTCGACTCGTCGGAGTTGTTGTTTCTTGAATTTCTTGTGGAAAGCGGAACAGGGTACCTGGCGTTATGTTCTACTCGTACACCTGCATGGTTGATCCTCGTTCCCCTTGAGCATTGTACGGGTTGCGTTCTCCTTTTTCCTTTCGAAACCGAGAGTCGAAGTTGTTCCACGTGCAAACGAAAATTATACGATCGTTACATAATAGCTTCGTAATTGTTACCTCGATCGCGTCGATCGAACAAAATTAAACGTACTGTCACTGGGCTTCGATCACGTTATCATCGTAAACACTCATCTTACTCATAATCACGTTGCTTTTCGAACGTAATCATTTGCGAAAAATCGAGCATGGCGTACGATGCGCGCGCATCACGTCGTAATTCTCACACGGTGAGAAGGAACGAATCGCCGCGTATTTTAACGGGTCGCATTTCTTTCGTTTGCACGGGCAAGCTCGAGAGATAACGATCCTTACCGGATCTTCGGTATTTGTGTGTTGCTCGCGAGCAACAGCCTCAACAGCGGCGGCAGGAACGAGCTCGCAACGGGATATCTAGACACGAAGTGCGCGCATCCCCGATTGTATGTACTCACCATTAACAGCACGCTAAACATTCTCAGAGAATTTTTCTCACACACGGACCTCGACCATTTTCCGCATGGCACATTGTTCTTTCGAATTGCTTTCCACTAGGAAGATTGCATGTTCTCCCGTTACCTCGTTTTATTTATACGTTCAATAGCAATTTTCGTATTCGCGTGTATGGAAAATGTGTTAGTAAGTACCATCAGTCTTGGTGAAGCGTTTTGGGTTTCTTTGTTGATGTGCTGGTTAAAGTGCTTAGGATATCTCGTGTTTGGACAGTGAGTCAAACGTGAAGGTTGAAAGAAGGAATTTACGTCTGATATGGGAATGTTTTTAATATACCTATAGCTTGTATATTGCGAATGGATTGTTTGTAGGATGGCGACTATTTAATCATTTAACTACACATATATGCCCCTGTAGCCCTATATTTTCATTCGCACTCGTAAAATTCCTAGCTTTTATCTCATAATTTTTGTCTCTTTCTTTCATTATTTTATTTTCTTCCTTTCTGACTCATCAGTTCGTAAACCTTGAACCAACCGATTTTCCAATGAAAAATATACACGCGCACGGCGTTGTATCGTTCGGCGAGTACGTCGGCCTTGACATCGACTCGATATACATATACTCTCGAGTGCCTTGACCTTTACGTCGATAAATCCGTGGGTTGTTTCTTCTTCGCGTCGTCGAAGGTCGAAGCCGCTTCCTTCCCCGGCCTTTCGACACGATACTTTTTCGTACGATCTGCCTGAAGCAACACGAATCGATGAAATAACACCGCCCAGGCCCTATCTCTGTTTTTCGTTCGACTCTATCATTCAGATCTGAAAATCGAATAATTAAGCCCATACAATATGTCATTGTCAGTCCTAATAGAATTTGTTACCGCAATTGAATAGAAATATTCGTCCAGTAATTTCGACGACCTTGATGCTAATACTTGTTTCTGGAAAGAATATAGCGAGAAATTGACATCGAGTATCGCGAAACTTGCCTACGGTTGTGCTCGTTTCCCTGGTTGTTGATTGCAATTGAAGACTCGCTTCATGAATGAATCATGACCAGCTTTAAGGACAGAAGGATCCTACCGTATGAGGAACCTCACGTGCTACCGACCATCGATATCAACGTACCTACCTACGCTTGTTAATTACGGTCTCGGGCAAAAGTTGAATGAATAAGCAGAGCTATACCGGGTACCCGAATGTGATCCTTGTTAAAATACCATTGACTCATATACCGATCAGGTCGAATCGACCGAGGTCGCGACCTCTCGTCAGCGAATTAAAGTGAAAGTTCGTCTATTCGCCTCGTGTCTGACGCTTTGAGTTCCTTGCTTCTTGTTCATCAGCAGTTGTTTCACCCTGGAACACCCAAACGGGTTGTTTTTGCTCATCGTGTGTCTACCAAGTTTGCTATCACGAGTAAATGAAAATTTTGACTTGGAGGGAATTTATGCGGGCTATTATGGTGATTATATTTAAGCCATGGAAAGCAACGAAAGTAGGGTAACGAAATCACTCTTTATAGATAAAATCAGAATTTGAAACGCTCGTGAAACGTTTCAGTTGCCTTGCTTTCGACGGCCGTCAACCGACATTCATACCGTGGCACGATTAGTAATTCAAACACGCGTTTTCACGCGAATCCCCCCGATTTCCTAGCTAGCTCGTCAGTAAATATTTGTTCGGTATTACACGTTGCTACATGTCATTGTGTACAACGTGTACTAAGTGTACTTATTCAGCGTGCCACGCGAATTCTAATTCAACCGAGTGTTAATGTATAGTGAAGATACAACATCAAAGATCAGGAGTTTAGTAAATGAAAGGAGACATGACGCACGGCGTAAACAGCACACACATTCATTTCGTATCCACTACGACAACCTTATTGTCGAACTAAATAGTTCGTACTTGGGTCGTAACAGAGAGCGAGGTTTTTTCCGGGATACATATTGACTTTCAGAGATTCTTCAATGAAGCGAGAGTACCCGCACGTAGTTTTTCTCGGAAATACTACCGCGAGGAATCATTCGATAAAATTAAGTTCCTACTCACGATCGAATTTCATTGAACTCGTGAAACTGCAATTCTGCCATTGAATATTTTTGATTGATAGGAAACAAGCATGACACTGGCAGTAATTGTTAATATATGGAAGACAAATTACGCAAGCTTATTCCTTTCACTTTCTGTTTTAGATAAATCTCACGATCACACGAATTTTCCTCGACGAGTGATAGAAAATAGATTGCTCGAATATAAATTACCACGGCACTGGATTCGATACAACTATAGCATACCATTGTTCGTTTTTGTTTTCACGCGAGAGCTCGTGAGCATTGCGCGATTCCTGCTTCAATGACACTGGAACTTTCGAAAAAATATTATGATAAATCGTTTCTTAAGTATTATCTACGAGACTGATGTAATAATTAGGTATCGATGTACGTACGTACATGCGAAGACGATTCTCTTATTCCCGGCTAAACCTATGGGAATTAATTGTCGGTCGTATTTCGAGATCATTACCGTCGATTAATTCGCTATGTTTCTGTTTTGCTTACCACGTAACGAGTTGCCACCATTCGATCAATACCGAGCTTATCACGTTGCACATGTATAATAATTTAACGATATAACGCGATGACGTTATAGCTAGCAGTACTTGTTGAATTTCAACACCTGTTGCATGCAATCTCGCCTTAAGTCTCACAATGTATTATGTTTCGTCCAGCTTCATTATTATTCGAGTAACATTATGCAAAGTAGCCGCGTGCAATTTTTCAATCGACGCAGCATCTGCATGGATATCGGTCAAGGTTCCAGAGGAAATCGTAGATCCGGTAAAAGAATTCGATAGGAATCGTATATAGAGAAATTTTTGTCTCGAATGGAAGAAAAGCGTTTGCATGGAGCATAGGTGAAACACCATTGCCTCTAATAAAGCACGTATGGCTCGACGACGTTGTGCGGGAGGTGTTTCGGTCTCCCTCTCGCCGATTACGCGAGTTTGTGGTAGTCACGGTAAATATAGGTCTGTGGCTCCGTTGCTCGCACCTCTTCTCACCGATTGCCGGTTGGAACGGCAAGCCAGTTTGACTAGAAGACGTTCCAGTTTTCTCACGAAGTTAGTAATATTCTGGGTCACTCGCACGAATTCGAGAGATATTCGGTGTTTTAACTCCGAGGCGTTCTTGACGCCGCGAAAGGGTCATTATGGTATATCCGTGAGCAGTAGAAACCCGAAGGAGCAGTTCGACTTGCTGCTCTGCTACGAATTCATATTAGTATCAAACACGGGAGGAGAATTATGTAGCATGACGAATGGCCGGGTCATTAGTGACTTGCTAATCTAGGAACTACTATACGAGGGCACGGAATTTTTCTGCACGGAGCAAGCCACGGACGCTTAAGAATGATCGTGCACCACTAACGTAAGTCAGATCCCTGGCTCGCTGTTCTACGGTTCTACCGTAAATTGCCCACGCTAGAAACAATAATAATCGAAGTTTATTTGCCCGTGCGGCTATGTGCGTTACTCAATGTAGGAATCGGGCATTGCGTTTTATTACGTTGCTCGAAGCGAGCAATTAGAGAATCGCGTTCGCAAAGGCGGTTCAGGATATCAGAGGCGGAAGAAACGAACCGTACATCCAGTACGCTAATATTTACTTCGAATACTTTATGTTATCTAGCGCGTCAAGCCGTCTAAGGTACCTACGAAGAGTATGAAGTCATTCGGACCGATGATCCGGCAATTATTTGAATCGATTCACTTCGACGCGAACAATCCGAGAGTAAAGAGTCGTTGGACGAAAAATATCGGCGATGTGTCACTACTTGAAGATATCTCGCGACGCGAAACTGCTGAATGATGATATCTGAAGCGACGATCTGCGATTTACTTGGTCGACGACGGTCTAGCCTGCGTATCTCGAAGCATCTCGAGCATTTCTCTCGTAGCCGTTTCTCTATCCGGTCGGCCTCCTACCGTTTCGCACGTCTGGGCCGGTTGTTCTATAGCAGAGCAGCGGATGCTCGCCGGACGACGAAACCGGATGTCCTTCGCTCGGAGAAAAAGAGAGATTAAACGGGGAGTAATGTAGGATAACGAAGGGAATGGGTAGACGAGCCGGTGAATACCGAGGGAAGGAAGGAAAAGATCGGCCTAGCAAATAACTTTCGCATTAATATTCCTGTTGGCAGGCAATAGCCATTCTCCACAGGCAACTATCCGGAGTAACTATAATCGACGATTGAACCGTAATC